CTGGAGAGGAAATAGAATGAGTGGGATATTAACAGATTAATTGGAACAAATGGGAAAGGAGGACCTTCAGCACCTGAGAGGATGGGGCCCTAGGGAGGCACCCCTCCTTGCACACAACTACAGGCCCAACAAACAGCACTAGTAGTAATTTGGACACAGTGGTAGGTTTGGTTTCAATAAACAAAGCTTTGGGATCCTGTGTACTCCCCCTGCTGTTCTAGACAGGCCCAAATAACTCTTAGCCCAGGACAAAGGGGGGGGGGGAAACAAATATATTTGGGAAACAGCCAAATGAGCACTTCTACAACCTTTTGTACAGCTTTCTGCAGTATTTACATCTGTTGAGGGTACCAGCGTATTGGGACACAATCATCCCTCTACAACACTGAGCCAAGGGAGAACCCACTGCTGGAGAGTGGGAAAGAGATAAGGAACAAGGATCTTGGGACATCTGCTGGTTTATGGCACTGTACCTCCTCTTCCTACTCCACCAGGGAGAAGACTCTGCCCTCCGATGGAAAGATGAGGTCTAGAGACAAGGGCTAGAGACTCCAAGGAGTCCACTAGGGATGCTGCCATGCTAATTTAGTTAGCAAGGGAGGCCCTGAAACACTACTGTATGGTGAGGGTGCCACTATAATTTCCTGAGCTGGAAGGAAATTTACATTTCCCTGGCTCCTATGTTGGATTTTCCTGCATGGGGAGAATACAACCTATTACATAACTATGGAAGTCAGGGGGTATGAACAGAGTCACATCTAAAACCAAGGGGCATGAGGGGGATTAATATAGTATTAAGCAATAAAATAAGAATTTAAGGAGCATGGGAATTAAAGCTGTAACTAAAACAAACATCCAGTCTCAAGAGCTAAAACTGCAAGATACTTGAATATTAAGAATTTCAGAATATAGGGCTGGGTTGGAAATATTTGCAACATTACAATTCACAGTAGATACAAAAACCAAGTAAAAGGGTCTCTGACCTTCTTAACCTTAGATGAGTTGAGATCCACCCACAGCACTCCCTTCCTGCCTAGCGAGAAGGTAATTAAGGGGAAGCTGCAGTGGTAATTTCTCTCCTCATTAACTTCCTGATTGGTTTCAAGCTCAGAATTCCATCGGGCTGCAGTTTGTCACCAATTCCAAATAGCCAATCGTTAATACTAATGTTTGTGTAACTAACTGCCAGCATCTGCCACGGTTTCTTGTACAACAATAATGGTGAAAGGGTAACATTAGTGCTCCTGTGTTAATTCAGATTCTGTTCATCAATAGGGAAATCTATGATGTAATTAGCAAAATGCATTGGTAGTTGAGTGTTAGTCATTTTTAGAAAACTAATTCACAGCAGAAGCTGAATGCCCCCCTGACATGTTAACCATCAATACTTATGTTCTGAATTTTTAGGATTTAGTGGAGAATGTTCCCAGGCTGAGCTCTTTTAAAAAGAGAATACAGTTTACAATCATTGTTTTTTAGAAGCTGATTAATCTAGAACCACACAAGAACAAGGAATGCAGTGTTAAAGTTTAAACTCCATCCTTAAACCACCCTGGTATGCCTAGGTAAGCAGTACCTACCGGGTCACTGAATGTTTGCAGACTTCTGAAATGTCTAGTAACTATGGAAGCTGAATTAAAGAGAATGGGCTGGATTTTGCGGTCACTTACAGGAATGAAAATCCAGAGGAACTCTGAGTTTAGTGAAGGTAATCTGAAGTACACTAGTGTGACTGGGAGCAGAATGCAGTCCCGTCTTTAGATACCTCTGAATTTTCCAGCTTCTGTGGGTTAATAGATATCTGATCACAGGGTTTCTTTTGCAGTTCAATTTCTTGTGTTTTGTTTTTATAGGATCGTAATCATTAGAGATGAAAAATATGCTATGGCCTTGGTCCTCTTTTCCTTTACACTTGTTATACAGCAGTGTAACTCCATTAAGCCAAATTCTATGACCGTGTAAAACTGCCACCTCCGTTGACTTCAGTGGAGTTTTGCCCATTTATGCCATCAGAGAATTTGATACACTGAGTTACTCCCAATTTACTTTGGTGTACGTAAGAGACAAGTTAGACTTTAGTTCTTTTGAGTTCATCATCCTGCAAGGACAGGATACAGAATCAGATTTTCTTCACCTTTGTCTTGTCCCGTTACTCAGGGTCAGCAGTTCTTATTCCAAGTGTTCCTGTCAAGTACGCCTCTCATGTTCTCTTTCAGGATCTTGAACAACTTTCTTCTGAGTCCTCCTTGTGGTCTTTGTCCTGTGACTGCTAGATCTTGTACTCTCTGGCCAACATATCCCACATCTCATTGTCTATGTGATCCAACCATCTCAGTCAATACTCTCTCAACAATTCCATGATGGGGCTTACCTGTATCATGATTCGTACTGACTTTAACTGCATAGCCTATCTGTTCTCATCTTACCCAGCATCCACCTGAGCATTCTCATTTCAGCAGGGTGATAGAATTGTTCACCTTCTTCCTCATTACCCAGCATTCTGACCTGTATGCCATAGCTGGCCTAATCATGGTCTTATAGACTTTGCTCTTTGGTTTACTTAGCATAGTTTTATTAGAGAATTCACATAAATTTTCTCCAGCCATCCTTCATTCAATTCTTAACCTACACATACCTAGATTCAGCTATGATGGGAATCTGAATTATTGCACAGATTTTAACTCTATACTATCCAGTTTTACTGGCTTCTCCTTATTCCTTTCAACAAAATATCACATGTATTCTGTCTTTTGTCGGCCATTTATGATGCAGAATATAGAACCAGATATTAAACTGATCTAGTGTACAGAATAGTATGTATTATCACAGAATGAACCACATGTTAAATTAATCCTATATCTGATTAATTAGATTTTATACTGAGACTACATTCTTTTCTTCACCTTTTGGCTAAGATCAAGTGTATTTAATTTTAGTGGGAATACTAAAATAGGCAAAGGATGGCGTTGGAGGCATTTAGGTATCCTGTGAATGAATATTAAAATTAGCATAGTGACATACAGATAAAGGGAACGTCTAACAGTAGGACTGGTGCTGGTGACTGGTGCATCCTGGTTCACAAAAAGGCACTCCTCTCCTGGCTGGCCAACCTTTCACTTAGTCTGGTGCAGATTTTCACAGTTCAGCTTTGTTTATCTGAAATATTTTGAAGTGGGGTGTTTTTGTGACTTGGCTAGTGCCTAATACCAATTGGAGTTTGAATGAAATGAATCTTAGCCAGCTAGCCCTCAAACATGTAGGTTAGAGGAAGCAATTGGAGGAACGGACAGAGGTTAATTCAGCTCCCTTGTTGGGGAGAGTAAGCTTACTTTTAGTGACACAGGTTCACAACCTGGTTATTCTGTTGGATGCCCAGCTAGTTCTGGATGACCAGGTCCTAACAGCCATGACTGCTTTCTATCATTTATACTCATCCAGAAAGCTGAACCCTTTTCTATAGGATGAAAAACTTGTTACGAATGATCCTTGCCTTTGTTACCTTGAAATGGTATTACTGCAATGCCCACTAGATGGATGTACACCTGAAAACCATTGGCAACTTCAACTGGTGTGGAATGTAGTGGCTTGCTCATTTAGAGATGCTTTTCGCAGGAGGCACATTAAAGAATCATAGAATATTAGGGTTGGACAAACCTCAAGAGGTCATCTAGTCCAAACCCCTGCTCAAAGCAGGACCAACACCAACTAAATCATCCCAGCCAGGGCTTTTGTCAAGCCGGCCTTAAAAACCTCTAAGGTTTTTTTGCACCTGTGCTCCAGGAATTGCACTAGCTTCCAATTTGTTGTTGAGTGCAATTTAAGGTCTTGATTTTGACCCATGGTTTGGTAAAATCTGACTACTTGTGAAAATGCTTCTCTCCTCACAGGATACCTGGCTGATGATGTAAGCTGAGATGCTCCTCTGGTTTAAAGAGGGATGATTGGCCAGGGATCAGCCCTTGATTTTGAAACTTGGTTGCCTCCCTCCTTGTTCCAGAAGAGCCCAGGACATGTTGTAAGGAACATCTATTTTCCCAGACTCTGGAGAAGAGCATGAGTTATGAGGGGGGTAACTGAGTTAAGGGGGAAACATTTTTGTTTATTCCTGAATAGCTGAATGTGTGAGAAGTTTATTTGTTAGGATTTGTAAATAGTTTTAGTGGTCATGTTCCTAGAATTACGGACAGGCACAATTTTTAAATTCTGAAATCCATAAATTCAATGACAAACTTTCAAAAAGTTTACAAAAAATCTCGTCCTACCCCTGTTGTGGTAAATGTTAAAAAACAGTAGGCATTAAAGCTGTATCTATGTTGTATTGCATATTGACCCACATTTGCAAACACCTGGAATTCTAATGAAACTGAGGCTAAAAATTTTCAGATATGGGTCTCTAAACTTAGGCATTGAAATCCATATCTAAACACTACATAAAAGTGGTCTGACTTTGACTGAAATCAAAGGTGCAAATGCTCAGTACTTTTGGAAATCAGGCTGTTTATGTTGATGCCTAAATGTGGTTTAGGTGTCTAACTTTAGTCGTAGGTTTGACAGATATTGGTCTTAGCAGCACATAGTTACTGTCCTTGGCATATGACAAAGCTTCCAGAGGCCCAATCCTGTACTCCTTTTCTCAGGCAAACGCCCCCTGAAGTCAGTGAAGTCAATGAGATATTGTGCCCAAGTAAGGAGGCAGGACAAGTGCATTGATGATAATGGGAACTGTAAACAAGGTCTGTGAGCTGTACACAACCTTAAGATTAAGAGTCAGCAAAACAGAAACCTACATTTCATTGCTGTTCTATTAAAGATCCAATAGCAGAAATGTCTAAGTCCACTGTGTTCAAAGAAGCAAACCTATGGTGTCTTTCATTAAAGCTTTAATTTTAAGATGTGGCTGATTCTACAATCCTCATACAACTGAGTATTCCTTACTCACGACATGTGAAAGGATTACTTGTGTGACTAACGGTTGCAGAACAGGGCCCTGACTTGTTGAG